GCCGTAAACAGGATTTATTACCTCCGTGCCCTGTTCCCAAGGGGAGCGCCTGCCTGCCTGCCGTGGCATCCACTTTGATTGTTTTGCCACGCCGGACAAAAAACCGATAGGATTGAAGCATACACATAATTGTATATATAATTGTATATATAATTGTATTATGTAGAAGAATGAGGTGTATATAGAGGTTAAGGATGATGTATTAAGTTTTTGTATCACGAGAAACAAATTGTTAGGAATATTTACCCTGGAATGCCACGTATGTCCATTTTTGTTTTAATTGTATTATAAATAAAAAAAATTTATAAAAAAAAAAAAAAAACCGAGGCGAAGGTTTCTGTTGCATCAGACAGGGAGGAAAAAAAAAAAGGGCCCTAAAGGTGATGGTGCGATGCAGATCGGAAGGGGATTTGCGTGACGGATTTTCAAGCACGCATCTCTGGTCCACAAGGGGTCAAGGGGGACAACTGCAGGCGAGGAAGCATCAAGCTATCAAAATAGGTATTTGTAGCTTTCTCAAAGACTTAACTCTCCAGCTCTGAGGACGATGAACCAAGCCAAGTCGGAAGAGATCAACCTCTTCTCCAAAGCGCCAGAAGGCAGGAGAAGAAGCAAAGGATGGAAACTAATCAAGGAGAGAAGCAACCTGGAATTAAGGAGAGATTTCCTGATAGTCAGGACCATGAACCAGTGGAGTGGCTTGCCTTCGGAAGGTGTGGGATCTTGCATCCCTGGAGGTTTTTAAGAAGAGATTGGTTTAGGTTTTAGGTTTTAGGTTTTAGGTTTTATTAAATTTATACCCCGCCCTTCTCCTGGCGGACTCAGGGCGGCTTACAGCAAGTTAAAAAACAGACAAACCATACAAAATACTAAGTTTAAAATACAATTAAAATGAAATATTGATTTTTTTGCCGTTTCTTTTTAAAATTATGTTAAAAATTATGTTAAAAAAATTATGTAAAAAAATTATGTTAAAAATTATGTTATGGGCAACTGTTTGAAATGGTCTATAAAGCAGTGTTTCTCAACCTTGACAATTTTAAGGCATGTGGACTTCAACTCCCAGAATTCCACAGCCAGCAATGGAGGGTGAAATCGGTTTCGGAAAAAGGGCCAGCTCTGCAGGACCAAGGAGAGCACCAAAGAAAGGGGGGAAAAACAGATGGAAAGCCAACTTGGGAGAGGTTTGCAGCACTGTAGGGAGAAGCAACCTAGAATTAAGGAGAAGTCTCCTAACCGTGAGAACAATTAACCAGTGGAACAGCTTGCCACCAGAAGTCGTGGGTGCTCCATCACTGGAGGTTTTTAAGAAGAGACTGGACAGCCGTTTGTCCAGAACGGGTATAGGGTTTCCTGCCTGAGCAGGGGGATGGACTAGATGACCTCCAAGGTCCCCTCCCAACTCTGTTATCCTCTTATTCGACCGCCTTCAAGTTTACAACTCGGTTGAAACTTTTTAGAAACCGACCGTTCTCTAGCGCAAGTCTGCAGGGATCAAATGTATCGATCCCAGGCAACTGCCTTCCGCCTCTGCAATCTTCTTTTGCACGTCGCGGCCCTCCGATCCTGCAAACCAGCATCCAGGCTCGAATCTAACAAACCCACGGGAACGGCAAGCGGCGGCAGATCAGAGAGGCAAAAAAAAAAATGCCCGTCCCTGCCAACAAGCAGCCAGAAGAGAAAGCTTTTTTTAAGCTTCGCAAAATTTGGTTGCCAACTCCCTGAAAGCGGAGATCTGATTTTTCGAAGGACAAACGTCGCTTGGGAAATGTAAACCTCCCAAATAATAAGACACGGAGAAGAAGAACCAATCAGCGGGAGACTGCGAGTTCTAGTCCTACCTTAGGCACCAACGCCGGCTGAGTAGCTTTGGCCCCGCCCTCTCTCTGAGCCCAACCCACTTCACAGGGCTGTTGTGGTGGGGAAGATAGGAGGAAGGAATATTAGGTATGTTTGTCGCCGTCAGTTATTGATAGAAATAATAAAGGCGGGATAAAAATACACAGATGAACTTGGAGGGGTTTGGCTGTATCTAAAAGACAAGGGGAGGGTGCACTCCTCAGTCTGAGGGGTCCTTGGTGCTCTCTGAGCTTGGTTATTTTCTTGCAGGACATTTCTTGCAGCCCTGATGATGCTCCCTAGTTGGGTCACGAGACGTCTTCAAGGAAGCAGCCACGCTCAGAGAGCACCCAGGATCTCTCATTTCAACCCCGATATTCTCCTTTATTGCACTCCCTCCCTTTGCTAGCATTATTTTATTTTCTCCGCCATGCAACCCCTCTCCGAAGGGGACGGAAGAGTGAAGATGGAACCAAGGAGAGCAATCTGGGGCTGCTGGGTGCTCCCTCCCTCCCTCCTTCGCCGTTAACTGAGACCACCTGCCTGCCTGCCTGCCTGCCAGGCCTCCTGGCCACCCAAAATGGAGCATCGCCAACTACCTAGATGCGAGGGGAGACCACGGACGTGGAACATCAGAGCCAGCACAAGAGCTATTTTTAGA